TGTGTTCCGTTCTATTAAAAATGGGACTAGACTTACAAGTCCCCGTCTAGAGCTGGCAGCTGTTTGTTGGTGAGCATTCCACAAAACCAAGCTCAAATGTTTAAACAGAAGAAAGAAATGAAGATGGAAAAGAAAGATTTATATGGGTAATTTTAAAGTGTAGATGGGTAAGATCTATTCTCATGTTAAAGGAAAATATGTGAACATACGAGTGAAAAATAAGTAGCAACACATTCAAAGTTCTGACCACGCAGCATCATAGGTTTATAAAATCTTGTCCTTGGAAAAGAAATGAAACTTTAATTCTTCCCCAGTTCATGAATCTCCTCTTCAACAATATAAAGAGGTCATCCTGCCACATACCAAAAATCCATTAGAAATTATTAAATAGGGCATTATTAGGAGATGGGTCATTGTAATAAAAATCTCCATATAAAACAATAGAGGGGCACCTTGGTGGTGAAGTCGGTTGAGCATCGGACGCTTGGTTTCGCCTCAGGTCATGATCTCAGGGTCGTGAGATCAAGCCTCGAGTCAGGCTCCACGCTCAGCAGGGAGTCTGCTTGATGATTCTCTCCCTCTTCCTCTGCCCCTCCTGCTCATGCTCTCTCCCTCTCCCTCGCTCCCTCTCTCACTAAAATAAATAAATAAATCTTTTTTTAAGAAATAAAAATAAAGCAATGGATAAGCTTGTTGAATGCTGATGTGACAGGTCCTCTTGTACTCACCCTTAGACACTCTCATTCTCTCCATTTATAGATGAGGAAATTCAGGTTAATGGGGTTTAACATCACATTGCTCACAAATAATCTGTCTGCTCAACTTTAAAATCTAACTTACCAATGTCAAAGCTACTGCTATCACAAATATCTAATATCAGAGTATCACATGTATCGAAATTAATTTTCTATGCTTGAAAGGTTTTAAGTGTTTATTTTTCTCATGCAAAGAGTTTGCAATCAGCCTAGATCCACCAAATTCCTGAAACTGACTTCACAGAAGTGTCCTAAATTACAGTTTCTAAGTACATGTAATGTTCATGCAAATAAGTAAATATCACTTACCTATCAGCTCTCAGTATTCTTACAACCCATGTATTGCCAGCAGTATAGGACACCAGGAGAAATAAAAGTAGAATTTTGGGAAAAGATGATGGGAAAACAAGGCTGATTAGAGTAGCAAATCATTTGCTTTCTTTTATTATTCACCACTTACAGCTATAGATCCTCATTTTTTGTTTGTTTGTTTGTTTAACTCTGTGTACATGAGTGGGGGTGTGGGGTTGGGAGAGGAGGATTCAGGTATAACAGATCTGCAGAGGGATCATTTGCTGAGTTTTATGTGGGTAAATGTGAATTGCGTGAGATTAAGTGGAGAAATGGAATATATTAGTATGAGTATATTCCAAGTTAAGTCTTTTCTAGAATGCTCTAAATTTTCCCATTTCCCTTGTGGCCTGGGTATGCATTGCTAATTGTTAAAAAAGAAATGACAACATTTGCCATGGTAAATTAATTTACATATTAGTTACTTATTAATTATTTTAGAATTATTTTGCTTTTAAAACTGATTTGACAAAACAAACAAAAAACAATGACTTGGCATATCTAAATAATACTCAGATGTTGAACTTCAGATACAATTTTTTTGAGGATTACCACTTGTAGAATAATTTACTAGATTTCTTTTAAGGGTTCATACTATAAGCCATACCATTTCTGCTGATATTACTCTAAAATCTTACTAGCATGAAAGTAACAAAATGACCACATAAAATGGTCATTCTCTTTCTGTATTGGGCTCCTAAAACAGCCTTCATTTTCTATAATAAGCTGTTTATGCTCACTTTGTCTTGCTTCATTTTATTTTTGTCACCTCTGGTGCTATCTCAGTGTACTATAATGGAATGATGCTGAATCAGACAAGCTGTAATTTTTTTTGCAAGCATATCTCAAGGCAAATTTATAAACTGAACTTGATATCAGAAATGAGGCTAAAGGGAACAGGCCTTTGTTCTAAGTTACAAAATGCTCTGCTATATTTTAAATTTGAAGTATGTTGAAAATAAAATGTTTTTTTTTCTGACATCAGGAATTTCACATAGGCAATATATTAAGAAATTCCTTTAAAATTTTTATTGTGTACAAATCAGTTTCACCAACAAAACTGTTTGTATTACAATTCTATATTCAAATTGTAAAGCTGATATTGAAGGTGATGTTATGCCACAGAAACCTGATTAAATTAATGATCCTACCATTTGATTTCAATTTTCTTTTCATGAAAAGCTAAGAGGGAGTGTTAATTTATTTAATGGTATTTTACTGGTATGACTATTTGGACAAACAAATTATATATTTAGGTATGGGTATACAAAAATTTTCCCCCTAGATTATGATCTCACCACCACCAAATTGAAAGTTTCTGAGAGTTAAATAGAGATTGATTGCTGAACCTTCTAAGCAGCAAGTGGCCAATCCTATCCTGGGAGGGTCTCTGATGAACTGTGACATGGTCTTCTCCAGTTTTAGAAGGTGCAAGCTCCATACAACTACCTAGCATACATTATTCTCACAGCAATGTCCCATTTCTCAGAAGTATTTCACCCATTTTATAGAAGAGAAAACTCAGGTTGAGAGTATAAGGCATTTGCTCAGTCTGGTACAGTCAGTGAGGGATGAGATAAGATTCAAATGTAGATCTGACTGGCTTCAAAGGCTACAGTATTTTATCTTATTTTATTATGTTTTTACTGCAAGATGCTGCTTCTTATTTCTATATTGCTATATTTACTTTAACTTTGTGTGTGTGCACGTGCATGTGTGTGGGGGGGTGAAAGAGAGAGAAAGAGAGAGGGAGAGAGAGAGAGAGACTTCTATTTGTATTCAAATAGATGTATGAAACCTTCCAGTTCTAGAAGGGGCAAGCTCCATACAACTACCTAGCATAGGCCCTTGTGTCTATAGTTATTGAACGAATTGCTACTTGCTATTGCTATTATAACCTGTATTGACAATGTTTCATTTCTTTTTCCTGTGTTACCACTTTAGAGCATCCTCCACTAAACAGTGGGAAATATGTTAAAATGTTAATGTTTTGAATAGTTTCACTCCTACAACTGGAAATAGCAGTCAGTGAGAAGTAAATGGGCTTTGGAAACAAAAGTCTTGCTGCTATACTGTTAACAAGATAATTATGGGATGTCCCAGGAGCAGGTGCCCTGTTATTCTCCTATGAGTTTTTACCCTAGCTACATGCAGCTCACTTTTATTCCTGCTTTTGCCCTCAATTTTTCTCTATACTATCACTTTATCTTTTTACAAGTGGCAGAATTAGTTTAATAGTTGTAGAATATTCCAGCAAATTTTTTCTTGGAAATAGTCATTTTTAGATGCATCATTTTATGCAGAAGTATAGAACAAAAAGGAATTATCATAGTAGTGTCCATTGAGTAAATGACACATGTCAACAACCTAAAACTCAATAAAATGTAGATTAAATTTTGCTGAAAGTTACCATGAGAAATTGGTATGAATACTCCTCTAGCAAACACAGCCCATAATTTATTGTTTGCAATACAGTTTTGCACATGATGGAAACCGGTGACCTCCAAGAGTATTCCCAATACCCTTGCCCAATGCTAGTGTTGTTTGCAAAGGCCCCCAGGAAATCATTAGCAAACTCCATCTAGAAACAGACCAAAAGGTCAGAGGTATACAGAACATGAGATTCATGACCCAAGGTTGTGGAAGGCTGTGAATATTCTTGTTCAAAATATGGTATGGTGTTTCAAAGCATCTGCTGCCATTCTTAGAGGTTAGTGAGCTTGAATAAGCCAGCGTCTAATTCTGAACAGTATGCCAAAGACGCATATTTGTTCTTAAACCTCAGTCATTAGAGTTGAGCCCCTACACAAACTCAAATGAGTTTCAGTAGAGCAGTAATTGGTTCTACAAGTTAGAAAGTATAGAGTGGCTCAGAAACCTAAATGTAAGGAAACTGACCACCAGGTACTATCTATAACTCAAAGATCGATGTGAAAATCCTGACCATATTCTGAATTATATTCAGCTCTCCAGAAGCATGAATTTTATTCTATTTGAATACAAATAGAAGTCTCTCTCTCTCTCTCCCTCTCTCTCTCTCTCTTTCACCCCCCCACACACATGCACGTGCACACACACAAAGTTAAAGCAAATATAGCAATATAGAAATAAGAGGCAGCATCTTGCAGTAAAAACATAATAAAATAAAATAAAATAAAATAAAATAAAATAAAATAAAATACTGTAGCCTTTGAAACCAGTCAGATCTACATTTGAATCTTATCTCATCCCTCACTGACTGTACCAGACTGAGCAAATGCCTTATACTCTCAACCTGAGTTTTCTCTTCTATAAAATGGGTGAAATACTTCTGAGAAATGGGACATTGCTGTGAGAATAATGTATGTCAGTTGCTGGTTGTATGTAGTAGTCACTTGTTAAGTAGTGACTATCATAAGTACTCATTTTTAAGTATACACTTGACCTCAAAGCATGTTGTTTATGCAAAATGTAATTATTTTTTAAAAATATTTAAGCATTGCCACCTAAAAAAATATAGGCTTAAGGCTTATAACATACAGCATTTTTAAACTAAATTATTATTTGATTATCCAGCAATATAACTTAGTTTGTTTTTGTTTTGACGAGATGGCTAGATTTAGTTTTGTTTTTGGTTTTTTCACAGTAAAGGTTCACCAAAAAAACATTGCCTTACCACTAGAAATTTTCATTTTTCTTCCAGGAATGATTTTGTCTTCTGATGATTCATGTGTCATACACCTAAAAGCAATTCTCCTTATATATTACATTTTAATATTAAGAAACCACAAAATAAGAAAAGCAATTTGACATCTACATTTACATATATTATTCTCTCTCCTTCCTATAACTTTATTTCCAGTTGAAAATATTCAGTACTCTTTCTTGTGTCTCTCTTCTCTCCTAATAATGAAGATCTCTCCAGGACCTTTCCAAGCAAACAGACATCCCTTACGGCACAGTACTGGACTCTGCAGTATATGAACATGTCCGCATGAAGGGAATGAATCCTTTTGAAAGGGACAGCATGTATTCCCAAATGTGGCGGATGATCCACAGAAGCAATGGATCAGAGAATAACGTTCTGGAATCCCAAGCAGGCATTCAAAAGGTACTGGTCATTGTTCTACTACAGTAGTCTAGTCTGCTATTTTGTCTCCCATATTGGAATTGCTACATTGAGATTGGTTTATTTCTTTTTTTAAATTTTTAACTTTGACACAGAGTTTGCAATTAAATTATACCTCCTATTGATTTAAAGAAGATTTTGAGTTGGCAGAGTGCTTAAGCAGAGGGAATTCAAAGCCTTCTGTGCTGTGTCTAATGGATCTGTCTCCAGTGGAATTCTGAAGCTAGAAAACATAAGCTAGTATTTTGTTCAGAATGGGTTAGGGACTTATGCACAGGAACACTGAAAAGGTTTTTACAAATCCCATTCCGAATATCATTAGGGTTATCCAATTCTTTCAAATAACTTTGGGGTATTTTCTATACTGCATTTGTTTTTAGATGAAAACCTTATCTTTACTTATGATTATGTGGTGGGTAAAAGTTAATCTTGTCAACAAATAAGGTTCCTGCAAATGTCTATTTCTATTCCAAAAGCAAAAATCTTTATTTCTATCTTATTTTAAATAACCATCATTTAGAAGTTATTTTATCAGGGGAAAAAAAGGCTTACAAAGCAGTCCTTTGTGTAAAACATGAAGCCAGTTTTTATTCTGGGCTGTGGTTTATAAACACGTATACAGAAGTAATTCTTTCTTCCTCAAGCCCCATCAATCTGCATGAGAGAACTGAATGATTTTTGTTTAAAATTATCCCAGTGGCTAGCACAGTGAAAATCACAATAATTGATATTAAATAAATAATTGTGGGATGAATGAATGAATGAATGAATGAATGAATGTCAATTATAGCAACAAAGGTGGTATACACTTTTTCTCTGTAACCTTCCACAGCAGAATAATTTGGACCCCGTGTTGAGTTCCTTGTTCAAAAGGCAAACTTATTAATACTATGTTGGAGAATGTTTTGATGGCTATAAAAAATATTCTGACACAGGTTCTAGCCTTTTCGTATGATGTCCTTTATCTGCTGCTGCTCTTATGGTTCCCTACAGTCAGCCTGGTTGACATCATTATTTTAAAAACTGATGGTGCTGATATAAACCTCTTTCTAAGTCCTAATGATGTGTTAGGATGTGAATTCCTTGAAATGTTTGCAACGGACTCTAGCTCCTTCACCCTTATTACATTAACCCCAGTTTTCCAGGACCCAAGTATTGATCCTAAAGTCCACTGGCTTCTAGAAGTTCTACAATTACTGGGAGGGTGGGGGTGAGAGTGGGTGAGTGAGTGGACCTATATGTTATCTGGAGGAGATGGGAGGGTAGACACTTTAGGCTTTACTAGGTACTCAGAGGATGTGAATGAACTTAAGCCTCAGAATAAGAATAAGTTATTTTGGGGTATTCCTTCATATTTTTAATTGTTAAGAAGAATCCTGTTTTCTCGGGGATGAATATATTCATAGTTTGTATTTCTATTCCATTTTAGAAGTCAAAGCTCTCCACATTTCACAACCTCTTTCTATACCATATCATTCCAGAGAAAATTCACTTTTTTTCTCCAAGCAGACATACAGATTCTCAAAAAATATTTTAAAAGATACATATTCACTCACTCATCATTTAGTTATTCATTTTTTCATACAATATTTGCTAAGTGCCAATTATGTACCAGGCACTGATCAAGAAACTATAGGTAGGAGAGGAAGGAAAGATGGCAGAGGAGTAGGGGACCCTATTTCAACTGGTCCCCGGAATTGAGCTGGATATCTACCAGACCACTCTGAGCACCAACGAAACCAGCCTGAGATGTAAGAGGATCTGGATCTCTACAAACAGAATATCTCAGGCGGTTGGTTTTGAGGTAGGAAGCAGGGGGCCGTGATTCCACAGGCAGATATCGGAGGATAACTGGCAGTGGGAGGGAACCTGGCCGTGGGGATCCTACACCACCGGTGAGCGACAGCCTCGTGCTGGGGACGGAACACAGACTCGCAGACCGGTCGTGGTGGGGAAAGGACTTTAGGGCAGTCCCCTGGGCGGAAACCCAGAGCAGCGGGTGTGCAAACTGGGAGTGACTGGCGGTTTTAGAAGCACAAAGGGCAGAGATGTGCCCCGACCTGGATGCAGGACTGGGGGCGCTGCGGAGGGGTGCACAACCCAGGACGCTGCAGTTTATAGCAGCACGGACAGAAATGGAGACGGTGTGGCCTGGAGAGCTCACTGAAGAACAGACTGCCGTCTCTCTGCTCTGAGGCAGAGGGTTGGAAACGGTCTCTTCTGCTCTGACTCACGGAAGAGACGCGGAAAGCCGCCAGGGAAAGCTGCCAGAGAACAAAAGCCCCAAAAACTGATTCCTGCTGAGTCCATCCCCTGCTACAGGGGGGCAGGACAACTCTGCCCAAACAGGGTTGCCTGAGTACCAGTGTGGCAGGCCCCTCCCCCAGAAGACAGGCTTGGAAAACAAGAGGCCAGCAACCCTAAGGTCCCAAGAAAACAGGTGCATCTTCCTTGGGTTCTGGTCAATTATATACATTCCCTCAAACACCCATCAACAGAATGACTAGGAGGAGAAACCCCCAAAATAGAAAAGACTCAGAGATCATGAGTTATGCTGCAGATTTACAAATGGATGCAGATAGAACCAAGATGTCGGAGATGGAATTCAGGCTAGCAATCGTGAAGACAATGGCTAGAATGGAGAAATCAATTAATGGCAACATAGAGTCTCTAAGGACAGAAATGAAAGCTGAACTGGCAGAACTTAAGAATGCTATCAATGAGACCCAATCCAATCTAGATAATCTAACAGCTAGGGTAAGTGAGGCAGAAGAACGAATAAGCGACCTGGAAGACAATATAATAGATAAAAGGGGAAAAGTGGAGGCCAGGGAAAAACAACTCAGAATCCATGAAAATAGAATCAGAGAAATAAGTGACACCATGAAGCATTCCTGGAATCCTGGAGGGACTGGAGAGAGAGAGAGGACTAGAAAATGTATTTGAGCAAATCATAGCAGAGAACTTCGCTAATCTGGGGAGTGAAACAAACATTCACGTCCTAGAGGCAGAGAGGACCCCTCCCAAGATCAAGGAAAACAGGTCAACACCCCGGCATGTAATAGTAAAACTTGCAAATCTTAGAACCAAGGAAACCATCTTAAGGGCAGTTAGGGGGAAGAGACTCCTTACATACAAAGGGAGGAACATCAGAATAACGTCAGACCTATCCACAGAGACCTGGCAAGCCAGAAAGGCCTGGCAAGACATATTCAGGATACTAAATGAGAAGAACATGCAACCAAGAATACTTTATCCATCAAGGCTGTTATTTAGAATGGATGGAGAGATGCAGACCTTCCACGACCGGCAGAAACTGAAAGAATATGTGACCACTAAGCTGGCCCTGCAAGAAATAATAGGGGGGTTCTATAAAAGGAGAAAGACCCCAAGAGTGATTTACAACATAAATTTACAGGGACAATCTATAAAAACAATGTCTTCACAGGCAACATGATGACAATTAATTCATATCTTTCAATAATCACTCTCAACGTGAATGGCCTAAATGCTCCCATAAAACGGCACAGGGTTGCAGATTGGATAAAAACACAAGACCCATCTGTATGCTGTCTACAAGAGACTCATTTTGAACCTAAAGATACATCCAGACTGAAAGTGAAGGGATGGAGGTCCATCTTCCATGCCAGCGGACCTCAAAAGAAAACTGGGGTAGCAATTCTTATATCAGACAAATTAGATTTTAAACTAAAGTCTGCAATTAGAGACACAGAAGGACACTATATCATTCTTAAAGGGTCTATCCAACAAGAAAATCTAACAATTGTAAATATCTATGCCCCCAACATGGGAGCAGCCATCTACATAAGCCAACTGTTAACCAAAATAAAGAGTCATATTGATAACAATACGTTAGTTGTAGGAGACCTCAATACTCCACTCTCAACAATGGACAGATCATCTAAGCAGAAAATCAACAAGGAAACAAGAGCTTTGAATGATATGCTGGACCAGATGGACCTCATAGATATTTACAGAACATTCCACCCTAAAACAATAGAATACTCATTCTTCTCGAGCACAGATGGAACTTTCTCCAGAATAGACCACATACTGGGTCACAAATCAGGTCTCAACCAATACCAAAAGATTGAGATTATTCCCTGCATATTCTCAGACCACAACGCTTTAAAACTGGAACTCAATCACAAGAAAAAAATTTGGCAGAAATTCAAACACTTGGAAGCTAAAGACCACTCTGCTCAAGAATGTTTGGGTAAGGGCGCCTGGGTGGCTCAGTTGGTTCGGCAACTGCTTTCGGCTCAGGTCATGATCCTGGAGTCCTGGGATCGAGTCCCACATCGGGCTCCCTGCTCAGCGGGGAGTCTGCTTCTCCCTCTGACGCTCCCCCCCCTCACGTGCTCTCTCTCTCTCTCTCTCTCACTCTCTCATTCTCGCTTTCTCAAATAAATAAATAAATAAAATCTTAAAAATAAAGAAGCCGTCATATCCTCTCCATAAAAAAAAAGAATGTTTGGGTCAACCAGGAAATCAAAGAAGAAATTAAACAATTCATGGAAATCAATGAGAATGAAAACACATCAGTCCAAAACCTATGGGATACTGCAAAGGCGGTCCTAAGGGGGAAATACATAGCCATCCAAGCCTCACTCAAAGAAATAGAAAAATCTCGAATTCACCAACTAACTCTACACCTTAAAGAACTAAAGAAAAAGCAACAAATGATGCCTAAACCACACGTTAGAAGAGAAATAATTAAAATTAGAGCAGAAATCAATGAATTAGAAACCAGAAACACAGTAGATCAGATCAACGAAACTAGAAGTGGTTCTTTGAAAGAATTAATAAGATCGATAAACCACTGGCCAGACTTACCCAAAAGAAAAGAGAAAGGGGGCGCCTGGGTGGCTCAGTTGGTTGAGCGACTGCCTTCGGCTCAGGTCATGATCCTGGAGTCTCGGGATCGAGTCCTGCATTGGGCTCCCTGCTCAGTGGGGAGT